GGCGGGCGGCCGGGCCGTGTAGGCCGAGATTAGAGCCGCGGGGCCGGGATCCTCGAGCCCCGGGGCCCTCCCCCTCCTCCAGGCGGGTCTCTAGGGTTGGCCCGAGAACCCTGACCCGGGGTCATCAATGCAAATAACCAAAGACACCCGGACGACCTGCACCCCTCCAGCCTGCGGTCCTGGGGAAAACTCAGGCCGGGTTTTCGGCGCATCAAACGCGGGGTGCGCCCATTCGGGGGTACAGATCAGAACATTTTGATAAAAATCAGCGCTGCCAGCCTCCCGGGAGCCTCAGGCCCCATAGAACCACCCGCCCAGGTTAGGAGGAGGGATGCTCCTCTCCCAGCAGTCGCCCTGCTCCGGCCCAGAATGTGGATCCTGGAGCCTCCTCCCTCCCCAGTATTGATTCTCTGGTTGTAAAAACAGCGCAGCCACGGCAGTCAGGCCCCGCTGGTCCCCGGGAGCGCCCCAAACCAGAGAAGATAGAAAGGAAGGAGACGGAGACTATTCCCAAGAAAGGCCGTGCCGCGGTTCTGTCTGGAGCCATGTCTGGAGATAACTCCCGTTGTGGATCCTGAAATGTTGATAAAGTTGGAGAAAGACCCTCAGGGCAACCAGGCCCTCGCTGGAGGGTGGGGGGCGGGCGCTTCCCCCACTTCCCTAGCCTTAGGGTCCCCCCCATTATCTTTTCACCCACCCTCACCCTTTGTACCGTCTCCAAAGAGCCATTTTTACTCCCGTTTTGCCAATCCTTCGTCTTGTTTTTCATCTCTTAGAGTTGTTGTGTGTGTTTTTCGGGGGGTGGTATTTGTATGTTTGTTTATTTGTTAATTTCTTCTCCCCTTTAATTCCAAAAATTGTCCCGCACGCTTTCCGGGGCACCAGTCCCTAGCTCCAGACTTGCTTTGCTCCCGTTGGGGGCCGGAAAGTGCCCTACGTAGGGAGTTAATTTATTAAGCAAACTTTATTAAGAATTCTGATTTACTGCCGTGTGTGCTTTGGGTAGATTCCTGGAATATTACCCTGGCTTTTTCGGTTGGAAATTGTCATTTTTGAAATGTTTCTTTTTAATGAAATCACTGGACCCTTTTCAAAACAGGAGGGGGAAGAAAATCGGACTATTTTTCGAGAGCCTCTACGAGGAGGCGAATT